GTGACACTTCCGTTCTTAGTACCTGATCTTCAGCAATCGAGTTTACTCCCATAGAAATCAGGGACAATCAGAACAGAGCTTTTCTCTACAAGAACTTGTTTCTGATTGTTTCTCTGAGATTTCTAATGAACTGACAGACTGTTGCAGTTGTAGCAATCACAGATCTCAGGTGAACATCCAGCCAGGTATCCATTTCCTGCAGAGCTTGGTCTCGGGGAGCGATTCACTTTGTGTGGAATGGAGCACGTTAAGCGATATGTCATAGTTTTTACATCTCATTTTTATTTTCTTTTCCAACTTTCAATACACACTGTGCAGGAAGACTGCCTTATTTATTAGGGATTTGGAAAATCAACACATTTCTCCCTAAAACGAGCTGTATCTGCTCCTGAACACAGGACAATCCCTGCTTGCTCCACAGATACATCTTCCTTGCATCAAAGGGGGAGATTTGGTTCAGCTTCATTATTCATCTTCTGTTAATTATCTGTTAAGGTAACATGAAATACCGTCATCTGGCAAACTCAAAGTCGCATTGCTTTTGTATAGAGAATTATGATTCATGGAAAGGAGTACCAGAGCTGCCTAGTGAGAAGTGTGCAGTGAAATCTTCCTCTGTTCTTCCACATTTCACCATATTCCAGCAGTTTTGGTGGAGTATATTGCAAAAAATCAGGTCATGGCTTTTTCTTTTCAGCAGTACATCAGGACCCAGTATGACGTGTCAAGTTTGAGAATCAATCCTAAAATACTTATTTTAATAAGGTATTTAATCATAGTGGAATGTTATACCTTCTGTGAATAGCAAGTATCAGATGGAAATGGCTAGGATGCTGCTTTCAAGTCTCAGTATTTTTCAGACTGGATTTTGGAGACCAGAAAGTCCACGGGTTATTTCTAAAGGACCTGCAAAAGAAGAGCAATCTTGTAGTCTGTAAACTTAAAATTGCTGTTCTAGGGTATGGCACTAGGGGACACAAATGGAGACAAATCAAGATACACTAGTTTAAGGCAAAGCACAATCCCTTGTGCCTATTACACTGAAATCTAAGCTGCAGTTGCAACTTTCTTAACAAGAATTTTTGTTACATAAGGTCCCTGAAACGTAATGAGTACTCATCTTTCATGTGTGGAACTGAAGGCACTTGTAAGAACGGGTGTTTTGTTTGTTAGCCATCCTACACAAAAGGATTTTTTTCCTCAAAGGCACCAAAGGATTGGTATCTGAATCCCCTTGATGCACAGTTCCATTAATGAAAATGAGCACGGACCCCCATTTCGTGTTGGTAGACAATCTGTTTCAGTTAACGGAGTATTTAAACACTTTCCTGAGGACACATGTAGTAGCGTAAATGTTTAAATCGGGCATGGCCGAACTCTCACATCTGTGCAGATGCTCCTTTCTGCATAAGCATACCCACCTTTGGAGGCTGCTGAGCACCCTGAGCTCCCATTGAATTTAGATGTCAGGGTACTTACAATTTAGTTGCATTACAGATACTTGAAAAAATCTATTAACTGTTGTAGTCTACACTAAGATTAGTAAAAATTTGTTCATGTTTCCTACCTAGGTTAGAAAAACTCTGAAGCTTATTTTTATATTTTCATAGGAATCTATAAAGTCATTGATTTGTGTGGTGCTGTACCTATCTAGGAAATAGCAATATGCATAGTGTCAAATGCAACTAATAAAAATTTCTGGTATTAAAACATCAACCCGTATGTTTTGTTACTGATTTGTATTTGGTACGAGGGTTATTATGTCTCTTCAGAGTATGAAGATATTGTGCAGGTTAAGGAAGATAGTTTCAGTCCTCTTCACACTGTACTGAACATTGTACAAACATGTTTTTTTTTAATAGCTGGAAATTAGATACTCAATTTACTATAGCAGTGCAGTATATATATCTCTCTAGTCAAATCTGTAATAATTTCTAGAAAGAGTTACTATGCCTTCTAAGGACCTAAACTTAGCATTTTGAACATTTCCTTTCTTGAAGTTAAGTTTTCCTTCTGATATTTACTGTAAATTGAAACCATGCTTAAAAATATTTTGCCTCTACTTAACTAAGGAATAGTAACTTGAGCGAAGGTATTTCATACAAGAAATAGTTTTACTGCCCATATAAAAATCTCAGTAATTTGAATATATGTTGGTAAAGCTTTTCTGCCTGGAATACTATTTGCTCATGGGAATAATGCCCGGCAAATCTCTTGATGTCTGATATTCTTGCAACTAAATAAGTCGATGCATCCTTAAACAGAATGCCAAAAGCAAAATGTAGATTTAAGTCAAAGGTGTGAAACAGTGTGGGTAGAGTCAGAAAAAGTAGGTGCAACAGGTTTTGTCTGCGTATCTCTATTACCATCCATCACAGAGTGCAATGGTGAACGCTCATGTCCTTGCTTGGTTAGCACATTGATATTGCAAAACTGTTGTATCTGCCTGCAACTGAATTCCACATTCTTCCTATGTTTCTTCTAGTTTGGATGCAGTAGCTGTCAGTACTGGAGACTTTGCAATTACTTTAACACAAATGTGTTGTGCTTTGTCATTTCAGCTATGATTATTCGAAGGTTCTGCAACGAATACCAGTGAAACATCATCCATTGTTGGACTAAGCAGTAGGATTCATTCTAAGATATGCAGTTAGCCACCCTCTCGGCTTGAGCTAGGGTGATACGGCAGTACTGATACAGATCGTACATATCAAATTCTGTAACTGAATTTACTTCTGGCCTGCTGCTCTTAACTGTACAATGGGAAAGGATATTCATTGCTAGACTGATGGGCTGATCACTCACTTTGAGAAAGCGTGTAATTTCTATTAGCATAACGGAAGAGCAGTTATAGCTTTGCCCAGAGGCCAAAGGTGATGCCTAAAGAGGAGAATCTAGAGGATAAACATAAATGGTATCTCCCTTGAGTACCCTGTCTTCTTCAGATCTGCTGATTGTACCTGAAAGAAAAGGAGCATACTGAGTATTTTGAAACACTTCCTTCTAGAAGAATTTAAAAGCAGCGTGCATGCTTCAGATAACTTACAATGTTTTTGTGACTTTGCCTTCCAAAGGCAGGTGAGTCAGGTTTGCACCTCATCTTGTTTAGCACCCAAACTACCTGGGGAACCCAAATGCATGTGTCTTCTTGAAGAGAAAAAAAATATCGAATCTCTTGTCTAATCTTCCTCTGCTATTTGAATCTATCCCACAAATCTCTGTTGCCATGGAAAGCTGCTCTGAACAGCTCCTTGAACTCCATTTAGCCTTCTTCTTAAAAGATTTCCTTCGCCTCTGCCTGCCTGTTTGTCCTCCCCAGCTAGCCTCTTCCTCTTGGGTTTCTCTCTTCAGCCCAGTGCCTCTGAAGCAGACTAGTTACACAGAGGTGGCTAGTCCAAGAGTCCTGGCTCGTAAAGGAAAAGCCCACAGTTAACAAGCACGCAGTAAAAAATTAAATTTGCTTTATATTTCTTTTATTTGCTTAATAGTTTATACTCACCATTTGGTGAAAGGGGGTGGAGGGGGAGGTTGGTTGTTGCCTTCATTTTTACTTGTTAAGTGTACATGTATGGAAATGACTTAGTTAATGGTTTTCTGGCTTCTCATGCCAACACAAGTGAGAAGTATTTTAGCATTCAATGGAGACCAAATGTTTTCAGATAAGGAGATGATGTCTTAAGGCATTTTTATTCATATTTAATTATACATATCTTTCTGCATAGTGTATGGCATTGATGCACACATGCAATACATACTCGATCAGCCTATTTGGCTCGATTTGACTGCCATTAAATAATCAGTTGTTACTGATTCTGGATTTAATGCTGGATTCTTGGCCGTAGCATATTTAAATGTTATTGTGGGTAAGTAAAGTTTTGATTCTGTTTACAGGATTAGTAAATTTGGATGGTGTTGGTTTTAAAGCTCCAAATGCTAAAAAATGTATGAAAATCTTCTCGCAATTTTTGTTGATGCATGAGCTGTAAGCAGTTATTGAAGGATTTTCTTGTACAATATTTGTACTAGATAAGATAGAAAATTGAACAGAGAATTATACTTGTCCTCAACCACACTAAACCCTTATTCTGAACTGCTTTTCCTGTAGGTTGGGGGTATGCAGTACGTATCTAAATTACTCTCTGATGTCATCTTATAGTTAAGTGAAATGGTTAGCATGTTAGATACCAAATAGCTGCAATGAAAATTTGCCCCCAGGATGAATTATTGCATAACATTGGTCCTTGAAAATTTCCATGAGCTATTCAAACAACTTATGTTTTTTGATTCCACAGGAATAATAATGTAAACACATGAAATTTTGCTTCGCTCAAACATTACCATTAAACAGAAAAAATATTACCAAATCTACATATTTTAATTTAGCAGGTACCCCAAAAGATGGATCCAAAAAACTGGATTCTAGCATGTCCTGTGGACGGCTCACAGTAATTTGTGTGCATGTTTAAACTTATGGCTGGGGTAGAACAAAATTGATTTGTGTGACTGATTTTGAAAAAAAAAAAATCATTAATTAGGCTGGTGCTGTAAAAAGCTGTTAATGACACAAAATGTGGCCATTGTGCTTTTTAAAGACTAATGATATAACACTTTGGGGCAGTAAAATCTGTAAGAGTAAACTATTAGAATGAATTTTTTTTAACCAAAAACTTAAAAAATACAGATTAGCATGCTTCACTTTTTTTGAGAGAGGGAGAGAAAACACTGCTTTTTAATTTGTTTCTCTTTTTGGAGTTCCTTGGAAGTTTTAGAATCTTTCTTTGTGTTGGAGATCCATCTGCCTGTACCTGTCCATCAAGGGCTCATTTTGTAACCGGACGTTTAAACCCCATATACAAGGTTGTTTTCAGTAAGCATGGCTGTTAACAGCAGGATTGTTATCACTAGTTATAATTATAACTATCTGTCTGCTCCAAGAAAAAATATGTCACTGTAAACTAAGTGCTTTGATTTTATATCCATTAAAGTTTCCCAAATTGCCCATGAATCAAGAGAAGCTCATCTCTGATGGCCCTACGGGAGCAGATGTGGTTCAAAGTAAATGAACTAATTGATTTGATAGATGATTCTCTATAATCACAGGCTGAAACTTGAGGAAGGTGAGAAATTCCACATAGCCCAGCATATTGTTTTGGTAGTAAATATGTAGTATCTCAATACTGATATGAAACATTGTGAACATTGGTAAATAAAGCCCCAGTGTGAACGTGAGAGAGCTGGATAGTGGGGATGGATAATCTACATACCAAGATTTTTATTTATTTTACAGAAACCTATCTGGCTCATTTGGCTGGTATCCTTCATTAATCCTATGTCTTTGTAGTATTTTACTTCTAGAGGTAAATTATGTCAGTTCCAATGAAATACCAGTACTAGGAGAGGAACATTAGCCAGACTTTTCCTTTCCTCAGATGGCTGTGTCTCTCCCTGCTGGAGTTCCTGAGTCTTGGCCTTTCACCAGGCTAATTCACAAGCTCACTGATGCCCTCTTAATGCTTTTTATTTCTGTTACCTGCTGAAAAGCTTTGTATGATTCTGAAAAATTAATTATTTTGTTTCCGATAATAAGTCTGGGCTTTCCTCCTTCAAACAAGTACATTTTGAAAGTTTTGCAGTAAAATCGTGGTTTGGGTTTGTTTCTACCTCATTTTATAACATCGTTTCATTGTTTATTGTTCTCATCCAGGTAGTTAAAATGTACAGAATAGATCATCATCAATTTGTTCTAAACTTTCTTATGTTGCTGTGAGGAGAACAGGATCAGGACCCTATTTTCTTCTGACACTGTCACCACAACTTTGTTGTGATGTATCAAATGTGACTTGTTGGCAGATGAATGTTTTCATACAGCAGAAAGCCAGTTGCTTTCATCAGTATTGTTGGAGTATTTTCACAGCAATTGCCTTCTCTGTCTTTGAAAAGTCATTAACTTCCCTGATTGCTCCCCAATCATTCGTAATGACTGTTTGAAGAGTTTTCACTGAAAGGACAGTCTTAAGAGCTCTCCATGTCAGCTTAGGTGTTCCTTGAGGTGAAAGATGTGCTGCATGGATAATTTAAAGGCATTTTCCCATGGAAAATTACATCCTTTTGGGCTCTTCAAGAGACTATTTACTTGTATCAGTGTAGTGCTGACTAATTACATGAATAAAGCAGAAGGACACTGTTTGTACAAACCATGAGAAAATCAGACACCTAAATATAAAAAATGGCAAAACATTTATTTGCAGTCATGACAAGGGGCATAAGAGAAATGATACTCAGCTATAAGCTATGGCATAAAATCTGTCCTTCTTGCTAACTAATTGATATGTGAGGTCACACATATTTTTCAAGATTTGTTTTCATAGTGAAATACTTACAGGAAATTAGAAACTTTTGTACAAATTTCATCTTCTCCATGAAAGAAAAATATTTTAGGATAATGGTAACACTTTACACTGATGTACAACACCGCATGATCCTGTATGGGTTAAAGAGTGACTGACATATCCAAGAAATATTTGAACATACAAAGCAAATATAACTTATCTGAAAATACTCTTTATTCTCCCTCATCTTCCTTACAGGTATCCATAATCCTTATATGTTGGGATTCTCTTTCATCACAAAAGCTGTACAGCAACTGTTTATCATCCAAATAGCTCCACACTGCCTTTTTGTAGAATCACAGTTTTGCCCTTCCTCATTGAAGTATTCACAGTGTAAGACATTTCTGTAACAGTGGAAGTTGAAATTTGTCTAGGAAAGAGGCATCTTGTGAATAAACCTTTCATCAAATGACCACACAAAAATCCCTGCTGGTTTGCATGAATTTTTTCAGGATTTTACCAAGTTTGGTCACAGGCTTGTTGATGTGATTTCAGCCTTTGAAAGCATTTATCACTTGCCTGTCCTGATTCAAGAGGAGCTCAGACTGAGATGCCACAATTTCCAGTGTTTCAACAATCTGTGGATGGAAACCCAGATGCGTCGAAAACCCAGACGGTGTGTTCCAGCCCACGGAACGGTTCATGAGCTCTGTGCTAAACTAGTCGTCTTCCATAACTAAGTTATGTTGTTTCACTGTGGTGGCATGTTGAGTAGCTTTAATTCATTAGACGTGACACTTTATAATTTGAAGAATGTAACGGATCGAAAACCAACCATCAAAAAACGTGGACTCGGCGATGATCTGTAGAAACCCTGTTCTCCTTCCTTTGTATTCGTTTATTTGCTATTCTGGTATAGAAAAAATAGTGACAAAGTTCAATTCTTGCAGCAGGCTCAGATAAGCCACGCAGGTAGTATAAAATTAAATGGATATATGAAAGACAAAATAAAATCAAACCAGAAAACCCTATCTGTTATCTAGCAAAATTCTTAGAATAAAACCATGACCTGAAAATACAGAAGCCTCTGCAAAATGAATCCCTGCAGGCTCCCTCTGGAAATGGGAAAGAACATGCTTGATTAAGCCAGTGCTAACCTTTCAAAATCATGTTTCTCTGATATTTATTCCTTGAAATAATAAAAGGGGACATGTCAGATGTTGGAAAGCCATAATGTACTCCCTTGCTTGCTACTGCCCTTTTCTAACTTGAGTGTTCCTCTCCCAGAACAAACTTTTAAAATAAAAAGTAAGGCCTCGGCTTGTCCTTTTTGTTGACCTTTATATGTTTTGTGTCTCTACATTTACACCAGTTGAATTAGAGTAAGAAAATTTCCATCCTTTTTCTAGCTCTGCTAGAAGGCCTTAGTCGTCTTGGTGGCAAACACATTCACAGGTGTATACGGACAATTTTGGAGAACTTAAAATCTATTGTATGGGGGCTGCAGGAGCCCGCACGCCCTCGTCCGCAGAGCCCCTGCTGCCGCCTCCCTCCCGGTCAGCTCAGCCCAGGCCTCGGGAGGCTGGCACGGGGGGTCCAGGCGTTGCTGGACAAGGACAGGGGAACTACAGGGGAACTAGTCCGGCTCCAGGTCAAGTGCAAGGAGCAAGTCAGTGTCAGCTGGGGCTGGGCATGGGCCTTACCTCAGGGTGATGGCAGCCGGGGGGTCCCACGGGGGCGATGGTGGCTGGTGGGCGATGCCTGGGACCCGGGCAGCTCCGTAGCCACGTGGAGGGGCAGGAGCACAGCTCCCGGAGGAGAGGTTGGTATCAGAGGAGAAACCTGCGGGCAGGAGTCGTGCAGGGTTTTGCAATGTGTGAGGCCGGAGAGGCGACAGGTCCTTGGGAGGCAAGACTTTTCTGCTGTTTGTAATAATTAGTAGATTATTTCCACCCTCACATGTTCTGCTTTGCCTGAAAGTACATAATTTTGTATAATTTTCCCCAAATTGCTCCCATGCTGATAACGGGGGAGTTTTCTCCCTGGGTGCCTCAGTGAGATGTTTGTGTTGGGAATTGCATGTTGTATACTGTTAATGAATAGAGGCAGGAATTTAATGACTTAAGAGTTTAGAAGTGTGGAAGGTATCTTGGGAGGAAAGGTTTTCCTTTCAGCTCCTCCACTGCAGTGTTTGCATTGACTGAAGGTTTTGCGTGGGTCTGTATAGTGCCACGAAGGAAGACTGTATGGCTGAAACCTGGATATTGATGACAGATAGACGCGATTCACTTCCCGTTTACTTGGGGATTATTACATCATTTCAAGTAATCCAAGAAAAGTGGTACCAAGTTAACACACTGCAAGATACATTATTTACCTACATTTGAGATTGGTACTAATAATTTTCTTCTGTGTATTTTTGATGTGATGCTAAGTTATTCAGCTTAAATTCATGACTAATCTCTGGCTTTCAGTTTTTCTAGTCTTAACGAAAATGCCACATAACTACTATAATTCATTAAACAGGAAACAGCTTGGACTGTATACGTAGATCTAGCACCACATGCCTTAAATCTGATATAAAAATGGAATATATAAGTTACAGTGGTGTAAAATCGGAGAAAAATAATTTTTGCTGGATCTCTGTGGATGATACAGAGTGAGGAAGAATGAAGTAATTAAGATAACTTTAAAGTCCTACTTGTAGTCCTGTCATAATAATCTTGTTTCTAGCAGAATAAAATCCTCTGGATTGCTTTTTAAACCGTGTTTCATATTGGTTTTTGCTTCTTGTCATAATATTGTCTTACCAGAGAAACAACTGTCCTCAACAAGTCTGCCAAGTGGAAAATCGATTTGGTCTTATGTTGACCCCTATTTTGTTCTAGTTTAACATTGCATTTTCATTTAACAAACGGTATACTATTTTAGATAATAAATGTTTCTTTCTTTAACTAACCAGCTATTGCAGCTTTTTCCCTAGTAGGCAGAAACTACTGTCAGGGCTTACCTCAGCTGTTACAGCAGCTGTGAATATGCCCTGCTGATCTCATGGAAAGGCTGGAGCTAGGAAACTAGGATGTCATGAAAATAGCTGAGGATGAGGTTTCAAGAGAAATATTCCTGTAATTTGTTGGAATTGGGGAAGTGAAATGTGCAATTCTGACAACAGCGACAGATTTATAGACTCAGTACACTAATTAAAAAGCAACTTACTAGAATATATTAATCTATGAAATGACAGCACCAGAGCGAGCTGCTCTGTCTTGTGCACAAGCATGGGAACACTGAAGTGCCCTTCTCCTGTAATGACAGAATTTTATATTGGATACAAAATTCAAGAATAATGTTAAACAAGAAGCAATTGAAGGATTACCTCCTCCTGGTGTGAAACATATGGGGACATGTTTCGCTATAAACTATATGTTCATGCGCAAGACAGAAAGAAAGAAAGAGTTTTCATTTGTTCTTTTCCTTCCCTTTTCATTGCTGTTTGTTGTTTACATGAATTTCTACCTACATTCTGTGGTAGAATCCAGCTAAGCAACTAGAACAGAAAAATCAAATAAAGCGTTAATAATTTCCACAGCTGCTTCTAACTAAATTTTTGCTCATATCAGTGTAACATCTTGGGATTTTCATGCTTTGAGATTTATCTGTGGAATTCCTTTTTATAAAAGTTTCTTGTATTGGATAAGTGGTACAGCTTCCTTGCATCCTCCACCAATAATCTCAATAGATGAGGCCACGAGGAAAGAAAAAGAATGTATTTCTGATGTGCATTTAAAACACCTCTGATATTATAACTGTATTCCTATAGCGATGACTTAGATGGATATCTTGATAGATGACTTGATAGATGACAAGATGACAGTTAAATGCATATAACTGAATAATTTTGTTTTTTTCAAACATCAACTTAGTTTGCTTTTGAATATAGAAAAGTAGGGCTTAAATTCTATATGTGTAACAAAATACTAAGTCTGTATAAAGCAAAGGAATAATAACGCTCTTCAGGAAGAATGTGAAGCTTTGAAAATAGCAAAATGAACAGTTCTGCAGATGGTTAAGGATATAGTAGTTGAATCCCTTATAGTTTTATTTATTTATTTGCTGTTTCTTCACTAAACTCCCCCCCACCTCCAACTTAATGGGTAATATGTCCTTGAATATTCTCCTTACAGGCATTTAAATATCTGCTGAAGTTCCTAAGGCTGCAATTTGCTTGTAATCTTCCATCTGTTTCAAATTCATTGTAAACACATACAGTCAGATCTTCAGCTCTATGAAAGCATCACATGCAATCAGTGGAGCTACAAGGAGTTTCTTCAGATGAGAATCTTACTTGTGATATTTGTATCTCCACTTTTACTGAACCCAAACTTGTTTTCACATATAATTACAATTTTTTCATCATTCTGATCACAAATTGATATTCCTTGCCTGATTTTGATTAAAGTTCACATTCACAATTATGTGAAAATGATTAATGTAATATGGGTGTGAACTTTACAGAAATGTTTAAAAACTCCTTTCACAAACTATTTTTCTAACAAAATGTCTACAAAAGGGAAGGATTTATTTTTAGTAGTTTGTTTGTGTTGTCAGACTCCTGTAATGGTGACACAGGCCGTTGTGCACAAGGTTGTCGTTCTTGGCCAGGGAAGATGACAAAGGCTGCTCTAGGTTAAAAGTCGGTATTTAATAGTTAGAAAGGTCACACTTGGAAATGTCCATGTGCATTGGTTTTTGACCGCAAAGTCTTCATCTTCAGTTGCCTTATTGGAGAAGTTCCTTGTGATGCTTGAAGGACCAAGTTGTATGTACTGTTTGAAAGAATTATTCCACTACACTAGTAGCCATAAACCATATACAGAAACAGGGTAGAGTGAAAGGATACGCTGGAAATGATCTATTTAACTTATTGTAAATTATTGTACTTATTTTTACTGTCATTTAGTATAATCACAAGTAAAAACCAGGATAAGAGCTGGAGAAGAAAACTTAAGTCATTGACTTTGCAGTACAATATTTTTTTGTTCAGTTAAGTTTTAATGTTCAATTAGGAAGCTACAGCAAACTCGGATTCGTGGCATTGTCTCTAGATATCTAATTTACTTTGTAATAGTAGATTAGTAACTAAACCATTAAATGTTGACTCTGAGCACACTTTCTGTGGGCTGGGTTTCTTTAGCTGTGTCTTCAGATGAAAGGCTTGTTTGTTTATTTTTAAGTATACAGTGCAGGTCGCCAGGAAATAGCCCCTAGAAGCATTCAGCAATTGAATCTTGCTAATTCAGTTCTTCTCTCAAATATGTTTTATAACACCTGCGACTAACCGCAAATCACTGCAGATCTGGCGCTGGCATTCCAAATGCCGTCTTTGAGGTACCAAAGCAGCCATGGCAGATGACTTCATTGCCACCAGTGGTGTGTATTTTGTACCTTTGATATCAGTCTTCACGGTCTGACACGAGTTGTAAGACTTGTATTGCTGTCAAGCTATATAAAATCCCGGTGTGAAGTTCTTAATGCTTGGAAAGTAATAACACTCCTCATCTTCTATTAAAAAAATACAGACACTCAGTTTGCTCTGAAGAGGTTTCAGAACTTGTAGAGCTGAATTACTGTTCTCACTAATAATTGTATGTTTAACACCACCTTGCCATGAAACCTAAGTCAATTAATCTGTTTCTGTCCCTTGCAAGTGTAAAATAGGATAGCAGTTCACAACCACATTCATAAAACTCTTTAAATTAAAAGCACCATGTGTCTCTCTCCTTTAAAGGCTACATAAGATATCTTGCATGGTTAATATCTTATTTTTAAATCATAAGTTTTTCTTTCAGTAGATGTTCATGCTTTCTGTATCTGAAAATGATGCACATAAGTTGCCTGTTCGGAATAAATACTGAAGTAAAATGAGAATAAAAAATTATATAGCGTACTGTAATAACTGTGATGTGTATAAATCTAGAATGTAAAATTCAAAAATAAATTTAGATCTTAAAGCAACTTGGCAAAAATAGACCAATGAAAATGTTTTGTAAATGGAGTGCCAGCAAAATGTACTATTGTATTGCCTATTTCTGATAGATGTTGTTAAAATAAGAGGCACCTGCCCTTAGGCTGTATAAAATGTTATGAATACTGTAAAAGCCTAACACAAATATTAGAAACAAGTCTTGTAGTAAATTGACAGCACAGCTGTGTCAGGCAATGCAGCTACCAGTTACGGACCATGAGGCCATTTTTTGAATTTACTTCCATTTAAGTCCTTTAAGAAGGACACCAACAGCTTGCAGGTTGTCCCTGGAGTCCTATCCTTTAATTCTGCGTCAGACATCAATGGGCCGTGTGCTCTGAATGGAGCATGATCAGTAGTGAGTCCAGGAACGGTAGTGAACTCAGTACCTGGGAATGGTAAATCTACTTCTGCAGAGTTTGACAGCTTCCACCAAATCCAATGAACATGTGGAAATGACGTATCCCTCAGACATTAGGCCTGGATGTACAGAGCTTCTTCATATATATATAGCATGTGCATTGCAATTTATTGCCATTGTAACTAAAAATTGATATGAATTTATTGGGTCACGTTGCTAGTAAGTTTGATGAATCTAAAGCTACCTGCTGGAGATAAATTGTTTAACAGTGGCTGGCTGTCTCTAGGGAGCTTCCTCAGTAAGTACTGATTTGAGTTGTCTTCAAGTGACCGAGCACTCAGAAATTTCCTGCATAACTATCTGTTTGTCACTCTTTGGCAAATATTTTAATTAGCCCTGGTACGTATGATCAGTGTTGCTTATTAATGATATTAATATGATAAAGCACAGAAAGTTATTTGAATGCAATGAATACTAGGTAGCCATGGTGGACCAAAGAAAGCAGAAGGATTAGAGATTCTATTCCCTTCAGACTTGTGCAAAAGTTGTAACCTTTCACTCTGTCTGGCATTCTAGGATGTGATGTCCACTTTCTTCCAGTTCGGGGCTTCCATCCAGCAAGAAGCCATTGTCATGCTGAAGATCATGCAGGATTATGACTGGCATGTGTTTTCTCTGGTGACCACCACCTTCCCTGGATATCGAGACTTCATCAATGTCATTAAGACCACAGTGGAAAATAGTTTTGTGGGCTGGGACATGCAGAATGTCATTGTACTCGATACCGCCTTTGGAGATGCCAAGACCCAAATTCAGCTGAAGAAAATTCATTCATCTGTCATCCTGCTATATTGTTCCAAGGACGAAGCTGTCTACATACTCGATGAGGCTCGTTCCCTGGGCCTTACTGGCTATGATTTCTTTTGGATAGTTCCCAGCCTGGTTAGTGGTAACACTGACATCACTCCCAAGGAGTTTCCTTCAGGACTCATTTCAGCATCTTACGATGAGTGGGACTACAGTTTAGAAGCTCGTGTACGGGATGGCCTTGGGATTATTGCCACTGCTGCATCAGCCATGCTGGAAAAATATTCCTTCATTCCTGAAGCAAAAACTAGCTGCTATGGACAACTGGAGAAAAATGACCGGCCATCTCACACCTTGCACAAGTAAGGCTTATTGTTTGGGTTTTTTTCCCCCCCCCTACATAACCTTGGTAATTTTCCATTCTATTGCCATTATGTGTTTCTTGAAGGAGAATATTGTTTTTTTTAAATTCCATCATGCCCGTTTTAAGCAATGATTTTCAGATGTTCCAAGGGAACATGCAAGAGGACTTGCTGCACTGATAACTGTGCACATGGAAATGATGTTATGTGCTTTGGAGAATAAATACTGCTCTGGATCTGATGTAGAAGATGACAGAAATTGGCCTTAGATGGTATGAAGCTGAGTTAATAAAATTGTGCTGTTGTGTACTTTAGCTATGAGGTAAAATTGCCAAAATGCTCTGGAGGCTGTGCCTGTATCACTTGCATCAGCAGGAACCTGGTAATATTTTAGAAGACGAGATGTGCAGCACTAAAGAGGTGTCCCTGGAAATTATAGAAATATTCTATCAGGCAGATTTTATCACCTAATAACTGAAATCTGTCACTTCTGCTTGTGAGGATTTTATTTTTGTCACCTGTACTAGAATAACTGTAAAAATTAATCTGCATTAATCCAAGTTGATATGGAAGTTTTCTCAGAACGGTTTGTCATATGGGAACTGCCAAGGTTTAAATCAGGCTTCTTTGCTTCTATCCAAAATGTTGCATAATACATGCCACACAGTAATACATTTCTTTATCTGCTTTGTGAGAGGAAGTAAAGGGAATCTTGCATGTTTTTTGGTAGCTCTTTACAATATCTCATGTGGAAGCTATTAAGCAGTGTTTATGAAATTTGTTCTGACCAAATATTGCAGATGAAGTGCTCTCTACAGAAAAGCAGGATGGAATTGGCACAAGAAGGAAAGTCAGTGCTGATTTTATATAGGAGACAGTGGAACATTTTTAATCTTCCGAGATGTATGTGCATATTTAGATTAGGGGTTGATTGCCATATGATGTCCTAGAACAGTTGCTGTTTACCATGAAAATGGCATCGTTGTGCACAGCATTCTTCAGAAGCGCTCTTACAAGCCAAATGCTGTCAAGTAAATGGATTTTAACATTTCATACAGGTATTTCCTAAACAGTGTGACCAAAGTTCAGAAACTCGCACAGTCCTCCTTAGAAAGGGCTTGCCTTTAGTATGACACGTCCACTTTTTTTTGGCCTCCCCTTTCCTGTTTCTAAGCCTCTGCCTCTGAAAGTACAAATTTACCAGAGGTGTTGCAGAAAATCTGTAATTCTTTTCCTGCTGCCCCACTTGCCCCTGGGGAGTGAGAGGAGGCAGCACTGGGCTGGGTCTCCAGTCCAGCATGGCTCTGGGAAAGCCATCGCACGGCCACTCGTGTCGGGGCAGGGCAGCTGGAAGGCCCTGCTGGGATGGCTGTCCTACCCGCGCCCAGTACGCAGTCCTCATACGGTTCTTCTTGATGCATGTGCTGACGATGCCAGATAAAAGTGGAAGGTAATGGCATCCCATTAATCAAATTCTGTGCCTTAACAGTGGGATCTGTACAGAGAAAGAAGTTCACTATTAATACGTGAACACCAGTTTCTGTGAAGTTAAATTGTGTTCTGTTGTCAGTATTGTTGGTGTTTAAAATACTGTGATTCAGTTGGATGGGCCACAAAAACTTGAACCTGCTTTGAAAAGGACTCCTACCCCATTGTGTTGGTAATACAGTGGTGTGGACTTGAGTGCGGTATTCAGTATTCAGCGTAAGTTGTCTTTCTTCAAACAATCATTTTTTTCTCATTAAATCTGTATGACTACAAGAATAGGGATTGTGAGTGTTAGGACAGTGAGATTAGACTTCACCAGGAGATTCTGCAGTGTGCAGTGCATGATGCACATAGAAATTATTAATAGGAGAAGTTGTAATATAGTGCACCGTGGTTAATGAAGTCTCTTCCCAGTGTGAAACACTGACCTATGAAGTGAGACTATATTTTCCATACCAGAGATTCTTTGAACTTCTCCAACACCACAAGAAAAAACAGCAGGCTGTTTTTAATTTAGAAATGTCAGAATTACACTAAAATGAATAAACTTTAAATAGTCCTTCTTATGTAATAACTCCCCAAGACTATTCTTGTCACATACAATCTGCAGGAAACGCAAGTATGTACAAGCATTTAGCAGTGCTAAGTAATCTCTGGGAGCTGACCAGTCTCTCCATGCCAAGGTGAATTACGTAAATTCATTGTACTTTCTTATCCTCATCACCAAATTGTAGGTTTCTTCCTTATATGACAAATCAATGCCTAAATTGGGGTTTTATTCTGAAATGTAATCTTCACAATTTCAGGCCACAGATAGTGCAGCTTTATATTTTAAACTACAAAATAAATTTATATAATGCTGTATTAAGGAGCTAACTTGAACAAAGGATTTTGGAGCATCCTTACGATGAAAAGGGGTAAATTAATTGTAAACAGCCAATGAACCTGGGATCTGCTGTACTGTGCCTCCCTATTTGTGCTGGAAATCAAGGCTGGAGAAGTAGGGTTGCATGAAGGGACACTGCTTGTGAGCTCAGGAGGCTCCATGAGGTGATGCTTGAGCAAAACCAAGCTCAAGAATGGAGAAAAAAAATAGGGGTTTTAGACTCCATCTATTAATAATGACATTCCAATTCAGCCTTAAACCCAGGATACTGTTCTAAGTATATATATATGCCATAATAGCTAATTTGCTTGTAAATGGAGGTTGGTAATGTTTTGTGTGCCACTTCCTGCATCGAGATAGCAATTTTAATTTCCATTTATGAAGAAATTCTATGTAAAGAATTTCTATGTGAAGAAAGCCATGAAGTGAAAGCGCCTCCTCCCTCTTTCTCAAACCCTTTGAGTATTAAATTGGTTTGAAGATATATGTTTTGAAGCACACAATTTATCTTTCCCCTGTCACTGCAATTTTAAGATGCTTTTATTGGCTTTCTAGACCAAGAAAAAATCAGGTTTGCTTTAGTTTTTGGAATTATTTGATCAATGTTCAGTTCTGATACACATGGGAAAACTAGTTTTTCCCTATGAATAAAGGATTTAAAATAAAATACAGGGATCGTTTTCAGCACATTAAAGAATATACATGCATATATATACATATATGTATGTATTGATTCAGATCATCTTTTCCCATCTGTGTAAGACCCAGATTCTCCCACGGCGTGAAATATTGCCACTAGCACAGCAGGATAGATAGAATTAGCAGCTCATTAATGCGATGTCAGTTGAACAAATGCTTGCGCTCTCTCTAAAAAGGAAAACATGTAAGCAAACAAACAGTGAAACAAAATAACCCTGCCAGTTGTCATGGAAAATGCTGCTGCTTTGTGAATAGAAGCGCTTCTGTTTTGTCTGGAAGAGTAATCGTGTTGTGTGTAAAAGTCATAACCCTGGGAGATATATTTCACAACAACATTTCCAACCACTCTGATCTGTACAGGGATGGATGGGGATGACAAGGCTGTTGCTCTCTTGTCATTAACCTGAAAAACAAAAAGATATGTCTGTCCATAGGTAGTCAGACATTTACCACGCCGTGTTTACATTTAGTTACATTCAGTTTCCAAATACAACCGAATGTCATGCAGGATTTGGAGACTCATCTTTCTTTCGGTAGTGAAGGTGTAGGGCTAGAAAGCTGTCCAAACTGCGCTGGGCAGGCTGTGTCATTGAGATGACCCACCCTTCCCAAGCATGGTTTCCTTTATTCGTCATCACCGAGCCCAGGAGCAGGAGCACTGTGAGGTCCAAAGGGCCAGATACAAATACCTGACTTGATCCTGCTGTGAATCACTCAACTTTAAAAACTTGGGGACTCAGTGGGAACAGTGTTTTGAGATGTGCTACCTAATGCTGGTGTCTTTCCATGGCCTACTGCATGGTTCATTTTCTTGTCCCTGCTGTTGTGCTGCTGTTAGCTTACCGCATGGCTATGAGACAGCGTCTTCTTCAGAGGGCAAGGGTATGCTGTCTCTCTAGTCCTGATATTCATTCATCAAGTCCAATATTTTGATCCCAGCTTTTAGCAATGACGGATAAATTTTCCTCTTTTTCTTTTGAGCAAAATCAGGCATTAGACACAATCGTTTGATGAATAATCCAGCAAATCTGTTTTTTTCTGCATAGAGATCAACAGCCAATTTGCAGAGGATTTGTTCATTTAAGTTCTGTCAAAAGACTTGGGAAAAATAAGTATCATCTGCTTTATTGTATGATTGAAGATGTACCGTTATTTAACTAATTATGTATGAAGCAACATGCCTTTTCACTAGTAGCATACTTGCTGTGCAGATAAACAAATGTTATTTATAGTTACCCCAGACTCTCCAGGATATTTTGTCTCTCCCATTTTGTGATCCCACTGTGGTTTTACTGGATTACAGGAGTGCATTGCAAGCAGGGTGATGATCTGAGACTGTAACGCATGTTTCAGTAGTCACATACATTGCTTATGTGTTGCAGAGAGAAATGGCTAATCTGAGTAGATTTTCAATGTAGTACTTCATTTTTGGTAACTTTAAAGTTTAAAGAAGTTTCAGGTTTTGCACACTGGTAGATTTGTTGCTAATGTTGCTCTGCAGAAGCAAATCCAAATGAGGATGATGCACCTAAATGGCTGAGGGCATGAACAATGCTGCAAGCCTTTGTGGAGTGCTGAGGCCACAGGGATGTGGAGAGCAGCAGATTTCCAGGGAGGACAGTAGATTTAGACTGGTGTCTCCCAATAAGCACTGAGCTGCCAGTCCTAGATTTAATGTTAACAACTAATTTCAGATGTCCTGGATTACAAGAAATTATTATTGTCAACTTGAAAAAATGAATGAGGAAAGGCACTCAAGACACAAAAATATTTTGTAAGTGGCAGGATCCCACTTAGCCTCATGAACTTGTGTGGGGACGCTTTCTGATCAGGAGACCCAGTAGAGTATTGTAGCAATTGGATTGGTACACAGGGGTACACAACGTCTAATTTACTGCTGATGAGCAGATTTTAAACAGTAACAAAT